ACAATTTTACACCTATAGCTAAGCACTGTATATAAGAAAAATAACTATCAGAATGATTCTATGTGCCTAAAAGGTAGACAGATTCTCCAAAAAATGTCGAGAGCTTTAATTTTCCTGTAAAACAAGGTAAAAAGAGAAAAGTCATAGATAAGTGATAATTTTATTTTTTTAATAAATTTATTTATTTTTATTTTTGGCTGCGTTGGGTCTTCGTTGCTGCATGCGGGCTTTCTCTAGTTGCGGCGAGCGGGGGCTTCTCTTTGATGCGGTGCGCAGGCTTCTCTTGTTGCGGAGCATGGGCTCTAGGTGCGCAGGCTTCAGTAGTTGTGGCACACAGACTCAATAGCTGTGGTTCGTGGGCTCTAGAGTACAGGTTCAGTAGTTGTGGCACATGGGCTTAGTTGCTCTGTGGTATGTGGGATCTTCCCGGACCAGGGCTCAAACCCATGTCCCCTGCATTGGCAGGCGGACTCTTAACCACTGTACCACCAGGGAAGTCCCAATAATCAATAATTTTAAATTGATGTTTCTAGGCCATGAACATGAGAAGACTTTTTATTCCTTAGCATGAGAAATATTTGCTGCATATATAACACATTTTAAAAGCAGAAAATTTGATAAACAAATTTGGTCCACTGAATTAAAGCTACTTCAAGAAGGGTTAATTCATCCTGGCAATAATTACTAACAAAATCAACTATTTCTGGTTAAATCATTGGTTAAATTTTTCATTAGATCATCAAAAATTTACTGTTCACACAAAAGGCAGTAAAAATACAAAATCTATCAATTAGGAATTTGAGCACAAAAGCTTCAATATCAGAGTGCTATCATTTCCCCCCTTTTTGCTAGATCTACAAAAGCCAAGTTTATTCCCTCTGTTTCCTTTTTTAAGTAATTCTTCGCTTTGGGTGATAAATTAGAAAGACACTGATGTCTTGGGATCAATTTTGGAAAACATAAATATTGTATCTATAAGGAAGATATCTACCAAAATGCATGGAAAAATAGCCTTTTCTAAAAGGAGAAAAAGAGTCCTCAATTTCCATGATATCAGATAGAAATGTAAAGGTCCAAGATTCTAGATACCTTATGTTCCACAGCCCTGAATAACACGTCCCCAGAACTGAAGTATGCTTTATATTTTCAGTGGGTTGCTACCAATATGAAACAAATACCTGTTAATCTAACTGCAAAAGTAATTGTTTTCCTCTTTAATTAATGCCTTGAGTTATTTCCATCATTGGTTATCAGATATTGAATTAGGAGGCGTAAGTGCAGTTCTTGTTTGAAGAAAAAAGGAGAGATTCTCAAAAGAATGAATCTCAACTAGACACCTGGTAGACAGAACTAATCCAGACTGCATATTAAAAAAGAATAAGGGCTTCCCTGGTGGCGCAGTGGTTGAGAGTCCGCCTGCTGATGCAGGGGACACAGGTTCGTGCCCTGGTCCGGGAAGATCCCACATGCCACGGAGCGGCTGGGCCCGTGAGCCATGGCCGCTGAGCCTGCGCGTCCGGAGCCTGTGGCCATTGAGCCTGCGCGTCCGGAGAAGCCACAACAGTGAGAGGTCCGCGTACCGCAAAAAAAAAAAGGAAAAAGCATACCTAAACTCTTTCTCATTCAAGAAACTAAATATAATTATACTTCCCAATCCCAGTCTTATGCTTAAGAATCTGGGCTAAAGCAGGGTGCTATTGTTCCCATGACCTTATCCCTAAGGAACTGGACATGACCTTGAGTGTGCATCAAAAGAAGTGAATGGCTTATTGTAAGCGGTTTTGTATCAAAGGAACTATGAGAGTTGGATTTTGCTAAACGGAACCCTCATTTACGGAGCCAGCCATTGAATATAGGTTTAATGTTCCAATCAACTAATTTTAAATCTTTGCACTCCATAAGGTATTTCTCCAGTGTCACCATATTAGTTGATAATGAGTGAATTAAACTTTCTTTCTCTAGATGAACACTCTATACGAATATAAAACAATACTAAGTCCGAATTTCTTTTTTCTACTCTCCAGGCTGGTTTCCTTTTAGGAGAGGAAGGTTTAGGATGGAGCAAATTCACACCATCAAATTCGATGTGTGGAATGACTGGGCAGTTGAACTGTTTCACTGTCAGCAAGGTAGAAGTAATTTTTGCATCATTAGTGAAGATGCTGTAAAGGCACTGCTGTATCAAGGGAGACATGGAAGAAATCCCAACGGGTCAGAATGTGGCTCTCTTGGTCCATCACAAGAAACTACAGCTGCTAGTGAATATATGCTCTAAAGTCAGAAAAAAAAAAGCTTCATATTCTCCAAGGTGACTACAACAAAGAAAAATTGGCAGGAGATACTCAATGGATACTTAAATCTGCCTCTGAGTTGTCTCAATCAAATTATAAATCTTTTGATTCTTCAATGTAACTGTTTCTGCTTTGGTCTCACCAGGTTTGAGAGGAATAATAGAAATAATAACCGTCAGGTAACATAATATAGTCACTAAGTCCTCCAAACGAGTTTTAAATAACAAAACAATATAGCTACATACTGGCTTGTGATTTTGTTTTTTACTCTCCACATTGACTTAAATTTAAAGTAATAATGGAAAACTAAAATAAAAATTACAACAGAAAGGAATGTTCTTATTTTAAAAATAAGTATATTTGGAAAAGGGGCTAGTGGAATAAAGGGCTAAAAAATTAGCCTTTGTATAAGCAACTCTCTGATACTGAAGGCAGCATTAGTCAACTAAACACAGTAACAGTGACAAACACCACATTTTAAGGGTGTTCTCTATAGCAATGACAACAGTAATCCAATAGCCGAAATACAGCCAAAATAATGTGTAAGTCATCGAGGCGTTATCAAAAATCACCCACCAGGGACACTTCCCGGGTGGTGCAGTGGATAAGACTCTGTGCTTCCCAATGCAGGGGACCTGGGTTCGATCCCTGGTCAGGGAACAAGATCCTACATGCATGCCACAACTAAGAGTTTGCATGTTGCAACTAAGGAGCCCTGGAGCCACAACTAAGGAGTCCACCTGCCAGAACTAAGACCCAGTGCAACCAAAAAAAGAAAAAAATAATCCACCAGAATACCCCTTCCCCCTTCCTTCCTTCCTCCCTCCCTTTCTCTCTCTTTCTCTCTCTCTCTCTCTCTCTCTCTCTTTCTTTCTTTCTTGCCACACTGCAGCTTGTGGGATCTTAGTTTCCCAACCAGGGATCGAACCTGGGCCCCTGGCAGTGAGAGCGCCGAGTCTTAAGCACTGGACCGCCAGGGAATTCATCAGAGTATTATTTTCTAAAATGTGTGAACCTTGTTTTGGGTCGAACTTCTATAGGAAGGAATCTTAAGATTAAGGCAGAAATCTAGAGTACTGCCTGGGTTCAGAAGATACCTGAATACTTAACAGTTTATAATCCAAGAGACTATTAAAAAGGACTACAAGGGCTTCCCTGGTGGCGCAGTGGTTGAGAGTTCACCTGCCAATGCAGGGGACACGGGTTCGTGCCCTGGGCCGGGAAGATCCCACATGCCGTGAAGCGGCTGGGCCCATAAGCCACGGCCGCTGAGCCTGCGCGTCCAGAGCCTGTGCTCCACAACGGGAAAGGCCACAACAGTGAGAGGCCCGCGTATCACAAAAAATAAAAATAAAAAATAAAAAGGACTACAAGCTTGCACTAGTGCCATATTCCTTTTGCTTGAAATAGTGACAAGTCATAAGAGAGTTAACATGTTTCTACTGTACTTATTCTAGAGAAGGAGAACTGATAGCTGTACTTCCAATACTTACATGTGACACAATCATATGTGTACGAATATAGAAAAAAAATATATAGTACATACACACATGTACACAAATACATATTCTGTGTAAGCATGAAAGCAAAAAAAACCCCCAAACACTAAGTTTACTCAAATAATATTTCCCCTAAGATCACTTTCCTGGAATTGTATAATTGAGAAAAGCTTATTACTTATTACTCTGAAAAAACAGTACAAATACTTCAAACTCAAATGTCTAGACAATTTGGCCTAGAATCACAATTCAAAAGTCAACTAAAAATCTCAAATATGCTTTCTAATTTGTTTTTCTATTTCTACTAATGAAGAATAGGATTTTAACTTTTTCCTAGTGTCAAAAGCTAAATTGGTCAGAATCAAGTATAAAGGATTTTAGGTTGGAAAAAGAAAATATTTGAGAAAAACAAGTGTAAAATCCAACTTTTTATAAGAACATAACTGATTAAAAATGCCAATAGCTACTTAAATCTACAGTATATGATTGTTATTGATAGGAAATGAGCTGTTTGCACTCCAAGATATTTTATTACAAGATAATAATCATTCTTAAGATGATAAAGTTCTAAAGTTAAATCAAAAGCACCAAATCAGAAAAAGGCTGTGATCTAACTACTTTTACATTCCCTAAGAGCTTTGGCATTTTCCTGAGTTTTACTGTGTAAATATGACAAAACCATACACCACTTCTGCCACAAAGACAAAAGCAATTACTCCATTAAACAATAATATTTTAAAATGTGAGGTGACAAAATAAAGACTTATATTCAAGTACAATCTTGAAGGTAAGAAGTGGAAGAAAAATTCTTAGTTTTAAAAGAGACAACAGTTCCTTTTCAGTAGTCTTCAAAGAACATAAGAAAGATGAAGCTTTTGGAGCCTAGCTTTTGGAAATTCAACTTGATGTAGTTCTCTACATACAAAAGGATGAAGATGTGTAAAAATGTAATTCAGGTAAAAGACAGATGTCATGTTGGGGCCATTCACTCAGCCCTAATTTAGAGATGCCAAATTCATTTTTATATTTTAAAGGAGAATAATTCAACTTAGATTGTTTAATGTTTATCCATAAATGTGAAGGCTTTCATGAAGGCTGACAAACCAGCCTAATAAATTTTTCTGCCTGGGATCAAATATCAGCTAATCATCTGGCCAGTTAGAGAAATTAAAAAGTAAGACATACATGTAGGCACACACAGAATAGTTACCTTCAGCTGATTATTGAAAATATCAATCTCCTGTAGTTTTGATCTAGTTTCTTTCTCCACTTCATCCAGTTGGTCTCGTAGCTGCTGCCGAGCTAGTTCTTTTGCTTCTAAGGCTCTTTTGAGTGTAAGAAGTGAATCTCCTGTTTTAGAAAAACATCGCAAGATAAGAAAAACAAACTGGCAGTGAGGAAAAATGGTTTTTAACGTTCTCATTTCAATTAAGAAAATTATTGCCAGTAAAAAGGGAAAAAGTCAACTTTTATAAAACACCTACTGTGCAAACTGTTCTGCTGAACTTGTTTTAATTGGTCATTGAGTATCTGTTTTTCTGGAATAAGTCTTCCAAGCATTTGCTGAGACTCCTAGGAGAGAAAGAGAACACAGCAATGAATGATGGAGAAAACCACCATGTTTCCTCATCCCTCAAAGACTCTCCTAATCTCAACCTGAATCCTCTACAGTGAAACTGTCAGGGTGGTTTCACAACTCAGCAGAGAAAATGGAAAGCAATGATCTCTCAATTGCACTGGGATCAAATGCAAATGCAGTGACCCTGCTGTTTGCAAACTGACTCAGTAGTTTAAACAGGAACTGTTCTGTCCTGAACTTTGAGCCTTAATAGGGTTGAACTGGATTACCATACACCTGAAGTTGGAAACAGAAATCAAAAAAGGACTTTTAACAATTAGAATCTTAGCTGCCATATATGTTTGTCCAACACTCAGGATAGAGGCACAATTTTAAACAGCTACACAAAAATCTTGAACCAACTATTTTTTAACTGACATAGATAAAAGCTAAACCACATTGTACAAGCCTATTTGGAGTTTTCATGGGTGACTTGACAAGCAATTGTATTTGCCTAAGTTCAGCTGAAATTATTCAATATAGTTTCTACACATTTTAGAAAAAGGACAGATTTTCCAGGCTTTATTAAGGAATATTTGACTTTTATTTTTACTCTGATTTGAGAAAAAAATCTCTGTATATTAACTTTTGGTTTGAAAAAATTAAAATGTCAATTAAAAATTTTCACTAGAGGCTAAGAACCAGTCCCTTTCTGGAACAACCACCTTTAGATATAGACTGGCTTGTGTGTAATAAATCTTTGTGTACTATATGTCTGAACAGTAGATACAGTTCAATGGAGAGGATTTGGTAGCATCTTCTCATATGAATAATCCACACAAACACATATACCCCCCATCCCCCAAAATTTGAACAAAACAATACAAAAGTCGATCATTTTCCCAAAAAAGCATAGCCAACTAAGCTTCTCTTCTTGTTCTCCTTGCTAAATTAAGGCAAGGCCTCTTACCCAATCCCCAAGATTCTTTCCTGAACCAGGACAAACAATGAAGGATCAAGATGAAGCCTGGCTCAGATCACTCAGATTGTTTCATTTATTTAAACGTTACTTTTAAATGGACTACCTGAGTTTCAAAAATAGGTCAAACCAATATGAAGGGCTACCTGACTCATTTGCAGAGCAAGAATTTGCTAATTACTGTAAAGAAAGGAAACAGATTTCTCACGGCCTACTATGTACCTGCCTTTCTTCAAACCATGTATTATTTTTAACTTCACTACTTTTTCAGGAAACTTGATTGGTATTTTATTATCAATAACAATATACTAAGCATCAATCTTAAATAATAAAAATATGTTTGGACACAGAGCATTCAGTGAGATAATAAACACATGGCCTTCACTCCTAAATTTTCAACGGAATATTTTATGAAACTTCTCATAAATAGTTAATGAAAGACACAGAAAAACATTTACCACAGAAAAGAATACACTTTTAAAAGGTGCATGCATTTTAAAGTATTTTCAAACAATTTCTAGCAGTGAACTTCTGATACTGTTTACATTATACGTCATATCTTAATATCTCAAATTGATTAGGACTTCAGTGATAATCAGTAAGGACACAGAAGACATGAACGACATCATGAAACAACTTGATCGACTGACATTTACAGGACACCCTACCCAACTTCAACAGAGTACACATTCTTTACAAGTGCACATGGAATATTCACCAAGACAGATCAAATGCTGGGCCATAACATAAGTCTCAATAAACTTAAAAGGGTTAAAATCATACAGAGTATGTTCACAGATCATATCATAAATAAATCAGAAATCAATAAGACAAATGGAAAAAAAATCCGAGCATTTGGAAACTGAACAGCTAATTCTAAATAATCCATCAAAGAAATGACAAAGGAAATTTTAAAAAGGTTTTGAATTGAGTGGATTTAAAAATACAACATATTCATATGGCTATGACAATGCTTTGAAGGAATTATATAGCTTAAAATGTTACACATTATCAGAAATGAAGAAAGATCCAAACTCAATAATTTAAGCTTCCTCTTTACAAGGCTAGAAAAAAGCAAATCAAACCCAAAATAAAGAGATGGAAGGAAATAATAAGAAGCCTAAGTCAATGAAATAGAAAACAGACACACCACAGAGAAAAAAAAAAAATCTATAAAATCAAAACCTTTTTTAAAAAAACCAATCAATAAACCCAATATGCTCCTAGCTAGATTGATGGAGTAAAGGAGGAAGAGGGGAAGGGAGAGGAGGAAGAGAAGGAGAAAGGGGAGGGAGAGAAGGAAGAAGGAGAGGAGGAATTGGAGTGGGAGAGAAAAGATACAAATTCCCAATATCAGGAATGAAAGAAGTAAAATCACTACAGATACTACAGACTTGCAAAGAATAATAAGATATTATTATAAACAATTTTATACAAATAAATTTGTTAACTTAGATGAAATGTTCAAATTCATTGCAAGATACAAAATTATCAAAACAGACCAGAGAACAAATAGAAAACTGGAATAGCCTTGTGTCAATATCTATTGAATAAATTTTGCAATTAGAAGTTCTACCACAAACAAGACTCCAGACCCAGAAGGCTTCACTAGTGAATGCCACCAAAAATTTAAGGAAAAAACACAGTTAACCCTCAGTATCCATTGGGGATTGGTTCCAGGATCCTCTCAAGAGCAAAATCTGAGATTGCTCAAGTCCCTTATATTAAAATGGCATAGTGCAATCAGCCTCCCGAATCCTTTAATCTGCACATTTGGACCAACTTATCTGATACTGGAACCAGATAGCTATTCCAGGGGGTGAGAGAAAGTTTTATAGAAATATACAGGATTTTAAGAGACAAGCTGATGGGGTTAGCTAGGAAGGCAGTGTAGTGTCAAGGTTGAGGTTGGATGTAAAGTCTTGAAGTCACATAGATCTGGATTCGAATTTGGATTCCTGTTTCCCATCTAGAAACTGAATGCCAGAAACTGATTCTAGAATGTTCCCTTCTCGAATCTTCACTTTCTCACGTATAACATGAGAGTAATGATAGTGCCCTTACCAGATTACTGTGGGACTCTATTAAATATCCACATTAAGGTCTTAGCACTGAGCACACTGGCACATGCCAGGCTTTGGATAAATGGTAGCTACCACTACAGTCAGTCCACCATATCTGGATTCAACCAGCCTAGGATCGAATTTCAATTCAAATATGCCAATATGGAAGAACTACTGTACTATCGGTTTTACATAAAGGACTTGGAGCACCCACAGATTTTGGTATCCCCAGGCAACTTGGAACCAGTGCCCCCACAGATATCAAGGAAAGACTACCATCATATATTTTTAGAAACTAAAAGAGAAAAGAATACCCTACAGCTTAGTTTCTTATTTATTACCCTGATACCAAAGCTAGACAAGGACATTATGAGAAATCGATAAACTAATATCCTTCAAGAATTTCAATAGAGACCCCTAATAACAGCAAGTTGAATCCAGCAAAATGTTTGTTAAACAATAATACACCATGAGCAAGTGCAGTTTACCCCAAGAATGGAAGGTTGGTTTAACATTCAAATATCACCATATTAACAAAATAAAGGAGGAAAAAACCACATAAACATCTCAGTAAATGCAGGAAAAAAGAATATGACCCAATTCAACACCCATTCATGATAAAAACTGTCAGCAAACAAGGAAAAAAAGGGAAGTCCCTCACCCTAAAAAGGGCATCAATCAGGGCTTCCCTGGTGGCGCAGTGGCTGAGAGTCCGCCTGCTGATGCAGGGGACACGGGTTCGTGCCCCGGTCCGGGAAGATCCCACATGCCGCGGAGCGGCTGGGCCCGTGAGCCATGGCCGCTGAGCCTGCGCTTTCGGAGCCTGTGCTCCACAATGGGAGAGGCCACAACAATGAGAGGCCCGTGTACCGCAAAAAAAAAAAAAGGGCATCAATCAAAAAAAACCCTACAGTTAACATCATACTTCATGGTGAGAGCAATGCTTTACTCCTAAGATCAAGAACAAGACTCTCACCACTTCTATTCAACATAGTACTAGAGGTTGTAATCAACGCAGTTAAGACAAAAAAAGAAATAAAAGGTGTATAGATTGGAAAAAAAAAAAGTTATGGTGGCACAGTGGTGAAGACTCCATGCTCCCAATGCAGGGGGCCCGGGTTCAACCCCTAGTCAGGGAACTAGAACCCACATGCATGCCACAACTAAGAGTTCGCATGCCACAATTGAGAAGCCCGCCTGCCACAACTAAGACCTTGCCACAACTAAGACCTGGCACAACCAAATGAATAAATAAATATTTTAAAAAAAAAGAAAAAGAAGAAATAAAGTTATCCTTATTCACAATGTTTATGCATGTAGAAATTCTAAGGAAGCTACAATAAAGCTATTAGAACTAATAAATGAGTTAGGCAATATCACACATATAATGTCAATATATGAAAATGAATTCTGGTTCTATATACTGGAATCAAACAACTGTAAATTGAAATTAAAATATGTAATACACAATAGCATCAAAAACCTTGAAATTAGGGCTAAACTTTACAAAATATGTACAAGACTTGTACACTGAAAACTACAAAACACTGCTGTAAGAAACTTGTAACAACCCAAATAAAATTAAGAGATATACTATTAAGACTCAGTATTGTTAAGATGTCAATTCTTCCCATACTGATCTATAAATTCAATGGAATTCCAATAAAAACTCTAAGAATTTTGTAAAAACTGACATGATGATTTTAAAAGCTTCTGTGGAAATGTAAAGGACCTAAAATAGCCAAAATAATTTGAAAAAGAAAAATATTGAAGAACTCACACTACCTGATTTCAAAAATTATTATAAAACTAAAATTATCAACAGAGTGAAATACTGGTGAAAGGATAGACATAGATCAAAGGAACAGAAGAGAATCTAGAAAAGATTTTTTACAAATGTGGTTAATTGATTATCAACAAGCTACCAAGGCAATTCAATGCGGGAAAAGGACAGTGTTTTTAATAAATGTTGGTAGAACAACTGGGTGTTGGTATGGAAAAAAACGAACCTCACCCCTTACCTTACACTTAAGTAAAAACCAACCTGAAATGGATCACAGACCTAAACATGTAATATAAAAGGGTAAAACTTCTGGAAGAAAAGATAAGAGAAAGTATCTGCAATCTTGGGATAGTCAAAGATTTCTTGCATCGAACACGGAAAGTATAAACCATAAAAGAAAAAAATGAATAAATTGAACTTTCCCAAAATTAAACACGTCTGCCCTTTAAAGAACACCATTACAAAAATGAAAAGGTAAGCCACAGACTGGGCGAAAATGTTTGCAAAACATCTATCTGACAAAGGACTTCTGGGACTTCCCTCGTGGCACAGTGGTTAAGATTCCACGTCCCTAATGCAGAGGGCCCAGGTTCAATCCCTGGTCAGGGAACTAGATCCCACATGCATGCCGCAACTAAGAGATTGCATGCCACAACTAAGGAGCCGGCAAGCTGCAACGAAGGAGCCCTCCTGCCACAACTAAGGAGCACACGTGCCGCAACTAAGGAGCCAGCGAGCCACAATTAAGGAGCCTGTGAGCTGCAACTAAGGAGCCTGCCTGACACAACTAAGACCCGGCACAACCAAATAAATAAATATTTTTTTAAAAAAGGATTTCTTACGAGAATATATAAAGAACTTTGATAATATGCTAAACAACCTACTAAAAAATGAGCTAAAGATTTTTTCATAAAAGACACACAGAAGAAGATGCACACTAATACACATATGAAACAATGACCAACATCATTAGCCTTCAGGAAAATGCAAATTAAAGCCAAATGAGATATTGTTACACACCCACCAGAGATGTTAAAATTAAAAATAATGGCAATACCAAGTGTTGACAAGAATGAGGAACAACTGAAGGACTCATACACTCCTGGTGAGAATGTAAAATGGTACAACCACTTTGCAAACAATTTGATAGTTCCTGATAGGGTTAAGCACATACTTACATGACATAGTAATTTCACTCCTAAAATTTAACCAAGAGAAATAAAACACATTTCCACATAAAGATGTATAAGTAAATACTCATTGCAGCTTTATTCATAAAAGTCCCAAACCAGGGACTTCCCTGGTGGCACAGTGGTTAGGAATCTGCCTGCTGGTGCAGGGGACACGGGTTTGATCCCTGGTCTGGGAAGATCCCACATGCCGCAGAGCAACTGAGCCCTTGCACCACAACTACTGAGCCTGTGCTCTAGAGCCCGTGAGCCACAACTACTGAGCCCGCGCGCCTAGAGCCCGTGCTCCGCAACGAGAAGCCACTGCAATGAGAAGCCCGCACACTGCAACAAGTAGTAGCCCCTGCTCGCTGCAGCTAGAGAAGGCCTGCGCACAGCGATGAAGACCCAACGCAGCCAAAAATAAATTAAAAAAAAAAAACAGTCCCAAGCTGGAAAAAAACCTACATGTCCCTCAACAGGTGAGGGGATAAATAAGGAAATACTACTCAGTGATGAAAAGGAACAAACAACTGATTCAGTCAACAATATGGATAAATCTCAAAAAAAGCATGCAGAGAGGAAGAAGCTGAAATAAAAGTCACAATGTTCAAGGGACTTCCCCGGTGGGGCAGTGGTTAAGAATCCACCTGCCAATGCAGGGGACACAGGTTCGAGCCCTGGTCCGGGATGATCCCACATGCTGTGGAGCAACTAAGCCCGTGCGCCACAACTACTGAGCCTGCGCTCTACAGCCCACGAGCCACAGCTACTGAGCCCGCATGCCTAAAGCCTGTGCTCCGCAACAAGAGAAGCCACCCAATGAGAAGCCTGAGCACCGCAATGAAGAGTAGCTCCCGCTCGCCGTAACTAGAGCAAGCCCGCGTGCAGCAACAAAGACCCAACGCAGCCTAAATAAATAAATAAAAAGAAAGAAAGAAAACGTCTCTGAGAATACAGAGGTTTTAAAACGACTTACAAAAAAAAAGTCACAATGCTCAAAACTGATCATATTTCATGATGATATGCAGAACAATATCTACATGAATTTGATGCCCCCTAGCTCAACACTTGAAACCAAACCAGGTGATACTGTAACAACTTGGTGGTCAAGGTTGTATAGGTAATAAAATGAAAGTAGAACTGCTTAGAGTACTCCACTGTCTCCAACTGTTGTGTATACATACATTTCTGGAACTCCCCCTAATATACTTAACTGCACTTCTTTATTGTGCTCATCACGGTAAAGCCAAAGTCCCATGAATGGACTATAGGCCCTGTGTGATCCAGCCCCCACTTGCTCCAACCATAGTGGTCTCCTTGCTGTAACTGGCATCCCAGAGACCAGCTACAGCCTCAGGTCTTCTGCACTATTGTTTCCCTACCTATAACTTGCTCTGCCAGATATTCACATGGCTCAGCCACTCATCTCTTTCAAGTCTTTGCTCAAAAAGCATGTTCAGAGAGAGGCCTGTCCTGACCACATTACTCAAAATCACAGCTCTCCTTACTACTGGGGACTCTCTTCCCTACTTGCTCTCCAGAGCAACTTTTCATCTTCTAATAGAGTACATACTTGTTATTTTATTAGTGCTTGTCTCCCCTGCAAACAGAAGGTAAGCTCTGTGAGGGCGGGGTTCCTGTCTCTGCTGTCCACTGCTGGATCCTCAGTGCTTACCAGAGCTTGCATTGAGCTGGCATGTAGCAGTCTCGGCAAGTGTGCTGAGTTACTAGACAACCTATTTTCAGGCAACGACCTTATCTACTTCATCTTGGCTTCCCAGTGCCTATTAGATGCTTGATGTTTGTTGAGTGAATAAATGAATGAGATGAATCAGAGAAAGGCATGTAAGCCAAAAAGCTTTTAAGGGACGTATTTTCTCACCTGTAATTGTTGCTGTAGGTGGGTGATTTCAGCAATTCTCAACTCTCTAGATTTGTTTGTGCTCTCAATTTCTTGCCTTTGGGTTGTCAATCGACATCTGATATCTTGAAGTTTTCCTTCCAGTTGATGCTTCTTATCATTCTTTAACAAATGAAAAATAATAAAAATTATTAGCATTTTAATGGTTCAATGTAAGTAGATTCCCAAAGCATAATCAAACTACTCACTAGAGCTTCTAATTCAAATTCCAAAGTCTTTTTCTTTGCTTTCAGCACAACTATGTCCTCTTGTTCTTTGTTTCTTTGATTTAATAGTTCTTGTCTTCGATTCCGTTCCCATTCAAGCTGTCGTTGCCTTTCAAGCTCCCGTTTTGCAGCCTATGACATACACAGACGATTTATTAATTCTTCAGTTCTTACACTCTTCAAGGTCTCTTAGTAAGCATTACATCTAGTAAGTCTTTTCTTTTAGGGGTGAAATATTATCAAACATTACAAGAAATTTTTATTTTAATATAGCAGAAAAATTTTATACAAATATAATATTCCTTCTATGGGAAAACAGAGAATATTGAGAAAGGCTATTATATTTACATGAGCTGAGAACAGACTGGATTGTTTCACCACTGACATTCAATTCTTTACGCTGCTAAGGATGCTTGGTGTGCTAAAATAAGCTGCTCTTCCTTATTTACGGACTCATAAAAAACAAGGAAAATTAATCTAGTAAAATCAAGCCAAAAGCCCCAGAACAAAAAACAAAACAAAAAAAGCTTTCTTCCATCAAACAAGTAATTATTATTTCTTCTGTCACATGAGAGATTATTATTTGTTTCAAGCTTTAAAAGTCTGTAACCCCCATCTCCTTAATCATTCATTTCCTTTTTAGCACAGAAGGTTCTGTAATTTCTCTGGCAATGTCAGCTCTCTTCAACGCTGACTCTGATGGCTGCTAGGCAGAGTAACTGTGGGAGCACCTGGCACTCTTTATCGTATTGTAATTGCTTCTTACATACCTGTGCTCCAACTACACTGTAAGGGCCTGGAGGACAGGTGGAGTTCCTGTTTATCACCATATCTCCAGGGACTATCAATGCCTGGCACATGGTAAATGTCAATTAAATAATCTTGAATAAACACTCTAAAATACTTTTTTTTTTTTAAACACTGAAGAAGGAAAGGCTGTCTACCTTTTGGTTGTCATCCTGGAAATGAAAATCCTGTTAGTATCTGTGTGTGTCTGCCCGAATGAAAGGGAGCTTATAGCTACAAGTTTTCTAAAGCAATCATCAGGAGATGAAACCAAAGTATTATTTTTTTATAATGACAAATCCCCTATCTTTAAAATACATTTTATCCACACAAGAGAATCATGTCATTGCTTCTGTAACAATATACTAGGACTTCCTTGGTGGCGCAGTGATTAAGAATCCGCCTGCCAATGCAGGGGACACAGGTTCGAGCCCTGGTCCAGGAGGACTCCACATGCCATGGAGCAACTAAGCCCATGCACCACAACTACTGAGTCTGCACTTTAAAGCCCGCGAGCCACAACTACTGAGCCCGTGTGCCACAACTACTGAAGCCTGTGTGTCTAGAGCCCGTGCTCCACAACAAGAGCAGCCACCACAATGAGAAGCCCATGCACCACAACGAAGAGTAGCCCGCACGCAGCAATGAAGACCCAATGCAGCCATAAATTAATTAATTAATTTAAAAAAACCAATATACTAAAATTGGAAAGACAGACAGGAGATAGGCTTGGCCCCTATCCAGGTATGGCACCAAATTTAGGAAGCCATCCATAAAATACATTGAAGATTACTAGACATATTTTCTAAAGTGGAAAAAGAAAAAGATGCAGAACAATAAAATTAGTGTGATACCATTACAGTGGTTTCATAAAACAATTTCAACTAAACCTTCAACCTCCCCACCATATAAACCTTTTTGTTTCTATATTTGTATGTGAATGTAGAAAAAAGGCTAGAAAAAAATACTTAACTGCTATCAATGGTTTGTTACAAGACTGTATTATCAAAAACTTGTACATGAATGTTCATAGCAAGAGTATTCAAAATAGCCAAAAAGTAGAAACAACTCAAATGTCCACCAATTGATGAATGGATAAATTTAAAATGTGGTCTATCCATATAATGGAATACTATTCAAACACAAAAAGGAATAAAGTAATGATTCACGCTACAACTTAGCATGAAAACATGCTAATCGAAAGCCAGACACATATTATGTGAATCCACTTATACAAAATGTCCAGAATAGGCTAACCTATGGAGAGAGAAAGGAAATTCGAGGTTGTTAAGGGCAGGAGGAGGGGGAATGGGGAGTAACCGCTTAATGGGTAAGGAGTTTCTTTTTGGGGTGATGAATTAGTGGTGACGGTTGCACAATTTTGTGAATAACTAAAACTACTGAATTGTAAAAAGAAAAAAAAGACTGTTAATATATTACTTAAACAGCTCTGGAAGAGCAGGCGTGTTCATGACGGGGCTGCTCCCCAGCTGCTCACCTCTCGCCTCTCGATTTCTTTCCTGCGTTCCTCCTCTCTCTGACGTTCTAGCTCCCGCTGCTTTTCCAGCTGCTTCTCCAGCTCCAGTTGCCTCTTGCGCTCCTGTTCCTGGCGTTCCCGCTCCTTCCTCTCCTGCTCCGCCCTCTCCAGCTGGGCCAGGCGCTCTTGTTCTTTGCGCTGCTGCTCCAAGAGCGCTTGTCTCCGTTTCTCCAGCTCCAGATTGCCACGTTCAAAGTTCTCACGCTTCTTATCTTCAAAGGTTACTTTAAAACAAGACATAACGATTAGGAAAAGCCATGATTTTCAACATAGTATTTTCAAAGGGAAAACTCAATGGCATATTGGAAATGTGTAGTGTACCTGCAAACCTGAACTCCCAAAGCTTCTTTCTCACCTGTGCCCTCACTGATAAGCACTATGAACGTGCCCTTCACCCAGCTTCTTGCTTATATACTCTCCCCTCCAGATGAATCACATCATAGTGTTCGAAATGCCAAACGCGGTTTCTGGAATAATCTTTTGACAGCAGTTCTGCATCATCACCCAACCTCCATACCTTCCCTGTCACTCTACCCTTTCCCTTTTCTATGACCTGGATTCAGCAATTGACCCCTTGTCACTTCTGTACCATGAATCTTTCGCTTTCTACCTCTTTTTTCTTTGCTTAAAACCGTGCTGTTGTGTCTTCAATTTTAACAAACAAGACAGTTTCTGAATGCAGAGGTAAGAAGGTAAGTCTCCTCCTGGGTTTCACACTGAAGAGCAGGTTGTGCCCTAATCATCATGGAAATGATACTCCGTAAGTTATTTTTTCTAACCCATTACTCAGTTTCCTTCTTTGAGAACACCAATAATGAATTTTAGAACTATCCCCAGGTCAATAATTGTTTTTCTCTGATCCTTGCTAACACTGTTTACATCCATTTTATTTTACTTAAAAAAAAATTCCATCCACCACATCCCTTACTATGTTTTCAGCAGCGTCTATTCAGTTTTGTGTTTGCCTCACACGCTTCTCCTTGGAGCCAGCCCCAGACAAGGGAAGCTCTCACTGCCAGCCTGTGCAGCATGTCGTTCCCATTGTTCCCAATCTATTTCAAGGGCCGTCACTTCACACACTGTCTTGAGAAGTGTAGCTGTGAGCATCCTTTCTTGGCTTCTTCCCACATTCCTGTCTGGCCTTCACTGAAAACAGACCTTCCTTACATACTGTAGTTAGATTAGAGATCAGAGATGGCAAGCAAGTTTTATTTTCTTGTTCTTCTGGCTCCTTTTGTGATTTCAGAACAGGCAGCAATCATTTTACTCTGCCACCTTAAAATCGAAAGTCCCCTCCGTCAGAGAAAGGAATGAAGTAATGATACATGCTACAATGTGGATGAATCTCAAAAACACTATGCTAAGTGAAAGAAGCTGGATGTAAAAGGTCACCCACTGCATAATACCATTTATATGAAATATCCAGAAGAGGTAAATCCAAACAGACAGAAAGCAGACTGGTGATTTCCAGGGGCTGGGGAAAAGGGAGAATGGAGAGTAACTAGGTATGGCCACTGTTTTGGACTGAATGTTTTCCACCCCACCAATTTATAGGTTGAAACCCTAACCCCCAAATGGGCTGGTATTTGGAGATGGGAACTTTGTAATTCCAGTTAAGATAAGGTCATGACGATGGGGCCCTCATTATGAATTAGTGGCCTTATAAGAAAAGGAAGAGAGAGCTATCTTTCTTTTTCCATGTGCACACACCGAGGAAAGGCCATGTGAGGACCTAGTGAGAATGCAGCCATCTGCAAGTCAGGAAGAGTGCCCTCACCAGGAATGGAAGTGGATGGCACCCTGATCTTGGACTTCCTATCCTCCAGAACTGTGAGAAATAAATTTCTGCTGTTTGAGACACCCAGACTATGACATTTTATTATGGAAGCCCAAGCTGACTTAGACAGCCACTGAACTGTACACTTCAAAATGATCAATTTTATCTTAAGTAAATTTTACCTCAATTTAAAAAAAAGAAAAAAACTGAAAGTCCCTATACATCTTTTTAATTCCAAAATCTGGCCCTATTTCTGGTACACAGAGGCACATAATAAATGGTTGTTGAAAGAAAGAATGCACTAACCCAAAACTCTAATACTGTCACATCCTGTTCAAAACTTTAAATGAATATCTTCTACCAACAGAAAAAGAAAATTCCAAATTCTAAGGATTCCTGTCCTTATTTGCTTTAAGACTTTACTCCCATTATTATCAACCTGAAATGTTCCTCCCTTCCACTTGTAATGACCCAATTACTCTTCAAATCTCAACTCAACTGTGACCTCTTCCATAGAGATTTAATTGCTTGTGTATTTCCCAGTCTATGCCAACCAGCTATAAGTAAGCTCTGCTGTGCATCTATAATTCTGTCTTCAGGAATTTATCATACTTATGCACTGCTTTGATGATTGTTTATATGGATGTCTTAAATCCTCAGTTGTATTATAACCTTCCAGAGGGCATGGACCATGTATTATTAACATTTAGATTCTTCACTGTACTCAACACACTTGAACAAAGAACATTTTCAGTAAGCAGTTTATCACTGAACAAAAAGTAATTTAGTTAAAGAGGAGACTAGGAGAGCTAGTGTCCTGAGCAGGTCAATTATCCCCTGAGCACTTTAAATGCAACAAAATGACACTGACAGAGTATTAAACATAAAGAGGTTCCATAATAAATTTCATTACGGTGTCAGTATCAATTGTCATCTCATCATTAATAATTCATAGCTACCATAGAATATTTTAATAGTATGATGAATTTATTTTTGTAAATGAGGATAATTTAAATTAGGTTCATATTAAATTTAAAATAACTTCTTGTTATCAAGGAGCTTCCGATTCTATAACAACATGAGAAAACAACAGTAGGCAATTTTACATTCTATTTCTGCAACCACCTTAAAGGCTTATCAGTTTTGAGCATTTTATAGATAACATTTATAAAATTTTTGTTAAGTGGTAAATAATCAGATTTCAATTTAAAAGCTAGAACAAGGGTGCATTAGCAGAGTACATAATGTTCTTATTTCTATACATATATTCAAATCCAAAAGCATATGAAAAGTGTCTCCTTTCTGACTAAGGTCAGTTAAAGAAACATAGCAAGGGCTTCCCTGGTGGCTCAGTCATTAAGAATCTGCCTGCCAATGCAGGGGACACGGGTTCGAGCCCTGGTCCGGGAAGATCCCACATGCTGCGGAGCAACTAAGCCCATGTACCACAACTACGGAGCCTGAGCTCTAGAGAGCCTGTGAGCCACAACTACTGAGCCCGCGTGCCACAACTACTGAAGCCCACACGCCTAGAGCCTATGCTCTGCAATAAGAGAAGCCACCGCAATGAGAAGCCCGCGCACCACAACGAAGAGTAGCCCCTGCTCGCCACAACCAGAGAAAAGCCTGTGCACAGCAACAAAGATCCAACACAGCAAAAAAATAAAATAAATAAAATTTAAAAAAAGAAACATAGCAAGAATGTCAAAAGCTAAATTTATTTTTGCCTTAGAGATAGAAAATCTCTAATATGCTATAATTCAAATATAAGGACTGTCTTACCAGGTAATTTCTTTTCTAGTTGTTGCTGTTCATCTTCTAAAACTGGTTCCTCTGGTAACCTCTGATCTACTGAAGTTGAACTTATGACAGATATACCACTGCCAGATCGAACTCTTCTGCAGTTGTGGAAAAAAAGAAAAACAAAAAAAAGGATTCATGTAAAGCTGTCTAGGTAGAATTGGGTAAATTATGAAAAAAAATTTTTTTTAAGATTATGCCACATATCATGGAGCAAATTTCATTTTTAGTGAGGAAAAGATAAAGATTTGGTCTTCTCTATTTACAAGAGTTTCTTAAAAATGAGTATCTGAACGTCATCAGACTCTGAGTGCCATATTCATTCAAGTGTTTAGAACCATCACCAAAAGTAGGACAACTCCAAAGGATTAAATCAATGAACAATTGTCAAGTGGTTAGAGCAGTACCTTGGACATAGTAAGTGTTCGCTGTTCCGATCATAACCCTCCTATGAAACATTAAATTTCCAAGGGAAGATTAGCAGCTCAGCTAATTGAGAGCATCTTTTTTTTTTCCCTTTACAAAGTCTCTCCATGTTATCTCTTAACAAACACATGAAATGTCTATACTTCATAGTTCTTAAAACAAATCACTTAGTTTACTGGTTAGTTTCACTTTACACCATTAATCTTGCTCTTTTAAACCGATCTACCTATCTTCTTTTTATGCTTTTTTATCAGCTTCCAGTGTTGTGTTTCTTGTAGCGATTCTTGAAGCTGTGAGATTTTGTGGGCAAACTGTCCAGCTACCGGTTTCTTCCTACACATTCACAGTTTTCTCAGCTCCCCCCTGCACCATGTATGTGCTGACAGTGATGGCTTCATGTTTCATACTTTTATGGGGACTTTTCCCCCAGTCCTTCCTGTGAGGAATTAGGACAGAAATTCTTATCTGCGCTTCTTTTGTTCTTCTTTGTCTCGTAAGATCTCAAATTTGTCTTTTAAGTTAAAGCTTTGAGACACAGTTGTCCAAGAGGGCTGTGTATGCGTGGTTGTGTGTAGGCGGAGGATACCAGTAACTGCAGAGTCTTCCCAATTGGACCCTGAACTACCCTCTCAATGTCTCCATTGAAGTTATGTTTCAGACCATGAAAATTTTCTTTAATTATCTTCCTGATTATAATTTCTACATTGCCAGCATTTTGTTACCTCTGTCTGGAATGTGTAGAATTCATAGGCAGAATCTCCTTGCTTTATTTTCTATGTACAGGTTGATATCATTGCACTTAAACTGCTAAAGTTTTGGGTGAGCTTTGATTATATGGATTGTCTCAAAAATCACAAAATCTGTGATGTTTTACTTGACTGTTTTACTAATATCCTATGAGTACTTTAAAGAACAGAACAGGGAAAGATTAACACAAACCTACCTAAGAAGATTTGCTTGAATTCATAGATATTTCATTTACTTGCCAAGAATAAAAAATGACTATAAGATACACAGGCAACAAAGCCAAGTTTGAAATTCACATACTCAGCGCACAATTTCTTATGAGAGCCAAATATTCCTTACCTAAAGGAAGGTGGAATGTATTCTGGGGGCAGGACCGGTGGCAGTGGTTGGCCAGACATAGCTACATCAATTAGGTGCATAGCCAGGATAAATTCTTCTGCTGTGAGTTTTCCATCTTGATCAATGTCAGAAAGATTCCTATTCAACAAAAAGTTCATTGTAATCTAGCTTCATGAAAATGCATGCTTGTTACTATTCATGAGTGATTTAAACGTTCTATTTTCTTATTCTGACTCTAGGCCAACTGAGTTCCTCTGTGCCTCAGTTTATAAAAATAGTACCTATTTCACACCACCATTGCAAAGACAAAATGAGACAATCCATATAGCTGGGATGGTGTTCAGCATTCAACAGATGTTAACTATGATTATAATTACACCCTTCTCAATCATTGCAACCCATTTTAAATGTATCATACATTCCATGTGTCTAATTTAGACTACGCTCTGCAGACTATCAGGTCAGATAGTAAATATTTAAGCTTTGCAGAACACACGATCTCTATCACACAGAATTCTGCTGCTGCAGCAGGAAAGTAGACACAGACAATATATAGAGAAACAAATGGGCACGGTTGTTTTAAAAAACAAAACCAGGTGCAGGCCAGATTCAGCTCACTGGACCAAGCCCTGATCTAGGCCTCCAAGGGTGGATCTTTACGGCCTCCAGCCACAGAGGCAAGGTGTTTTCTGTTCCTTAATCTTAGGATTCAATCGTCACTGTTCTTCATAATCAACTTGCCCTGGTAGCTAATTAAAGTAAACAGATTTTTCTAGCAAGTCCAAGAATGTGATTTTACTTAACAACTTCTGGACACCAAAAGAAGATGCAAGACCACAACACTGTTCACTAAAATACCAATAGGACAGATGCTACACTGGGCAACTAACTGGCTTTGCTGATGCGATAAATCAAGAAACTCCTCTTAAATCTGAAATTTCCTCAGGTGGCATAAACTCTTTTTTTTTAAGGTACAATATCCATACGGTAACATCCACCCCTTTTAGAGTACAATTCTTCGAGTTCTGACAAACACATTCAGTTGTGTAACTCTACAATGTATAGAAGTTTCATCACCACCGAAAATTCCTGTCTTTTTATAGTCACCCTTTCTTTTGCCCCCAGGCCCTGGCAACCACTGATCTCTTTTCTGTCCCTCTACCTTTGCCTTTTCCAGGTGCCAGACTCCTGTTTTTAAGTAGAACACAGCCACAAATGAAAATTCTGCCTGTTTTACCTTGTTCTCTCTTCCTTTCCACTGCCCACTCCTAGGTAAATGCAATTAAAAGGCAGGTGGAATTCCTATTTGTTTTTTTCCCCATACTTGCCTGAAGAATGGCTGTACACATTTAATTAAATATCTTTTTATCATATAGAAAGAGAATATAATATTCTAGTAGGAGAAGACTCAAGTATTTTTTTCAAAGAGGGCAGGTTATAAATGAGAAACTTAAACATTTCATTATATTCTAGTGTCATGAGAACAACCAACGTCCATAAATGTTAGGTCTTTAGTTTTTATTCCAGAGGGCCCTAGGATACTGGTACACACCCAGACTTAAAGAGGTCTAGATGTGTCATAGATATAAGATGCTTGCTAACTGGTCTGTTATTATGCTATTGCAAGAGGCTGACCCTTTAACGCAAAGCAGAAGGGACCATAATGGGTGAAGGGAGCAGCTCTAGAGCTTGACCACTTATGAAACAACCACATCAATGAGCCTGCAGCAAAATCTTGAACCTAGCAGGTAAGTGGTATAGACCGGGTTTATCTTCCAGGTGGAATCAATGGATAATGCATAACTGAGAGATACACACTCCTGAAGAGTGTGTGTTCTAGTTAATATTTAACTAGATATTAAAATTAAATATTTAACATTCTAGTTAATATTTAAATGTAAAGAATCCTATAGGATTAGGCAAGGCTCATCAATAGCTACTAAAACTCATTACAAAATAGACAAAGAGACATAAATGTACCTACTGATGAAAGTACTCGGTATCATCTCTGATGTATTTTGCAAAAAAAAAAAAAAAAAATTCAAACTTGAATCTGATGAGTGGTTCTCAACCACTGATTGATTTAGTACTGCAAAGAACATCTGCCAATGTCTGGAGACATTTCTGATTGTCACAAGTGGAGGCGGGGCTCATGCTGCTGCAGTAGGCAGAGGCCAGAGATGCTACTTAACAATCAAAAGTCCACAGGACAGGCCTCCACCACAGAGTCATCGGGCCTAAAATGTCAATAGCACTGAGGTGCAGAACCCTGCTCAAGATCTAATTACCAATCTACAGGAAATACAAGAATGAATTAACACCACAAGGGTGCCATCAGCTAAAGTTAGGCTGTAAGAAACTATAGGACAAATGATCTGGGTTTTTTTTGTGGGGTGGGGTGGGGGAGGAGTGGAAAACAAGACAAGGGAGTTTATAGGTTAAAGGAGACTTAAAAGATGTATCAACCAATTGTTACAAAATATAGATTTATTTCAGTCCTGATTTGAACAAATCAACTATAAAAAAATTATGAGACAATCTAAGGAATTTAAACACCATCTGATTAACTTAATGATAAGAATTACTATTTAACAGTTTTAAGTGGACTTTTGGTATTGCAGTCATGTGGGGAAAAAATCCCTATGTCTTTTGGAGATACAAGCTGAAATATGTGCAGATGGAAATGATATAATGACTGAGATTTGGCTTAAAATAATTGAAAGGAGGAGGGGAGAACCAGGACAAGTCATGAGTTGAGACTTATTTAGGCTGTATTATGAGTTCTTGAGAATTCATTATATTGATTGCTCTGCTTTTGTATTTTTCAAAATCAAAAGGGGGGAAAGTAAGAGGGGTAATCATAACAACTCATTGGAAAATTAAGCCTACTCCATATATCCCCCTTAGAAATAACGGTATTAATCTAAAGACCCATGAGCCATATCAATTCAAGAAATACAGTTTCCTCTTTATACAAACCAAGGAACTTTTTCATTCCTTACCATATTGAAGCCAGCTGAGCCTGTGGTAAACTTGACTGCATAAGAATAGTTCTTGCTTGGGGACCTAAACAAAAACCAGGAAAAAAATATAAAGATGAATCAGCAAATCTTCACTGATCAGTGTTCTGCACATAGGTACTATGTAATCTCATGCAATCACAGTGCTTTAAACGATATTTGCTATTACCCGAGGGGCTTTTTAAAAAGGAAATTAAGCCCCAATGAAAAAGGCAAGAAACACAAAGCACCTGGCACACAGTCAATAAATTTTTGTTAAATAGATGTTTAATGAGGAATGAGTATGTAAAGGATTAGAGTTTCAAAATATAACCTGCCCCTCTGTCCAGGTTACCGTCTCTATTCGTATCAGGCTTTTATTTACAAAGCTGAAACTTATTCTCTCTAAATTCAGCATCTTGGCCACCACCTGCTTCCTCCACCATGATGACTATCAAATTCAGATAAGATTCAGAGAATCTTAGAGGAGGAAGGGACCTTAGAGAGAACTCTTCTACTCATTTCATTATACAGACTCTAAAACAAAACTAAATAAAAAAAACTTGCTCAAGGTTGTATAAATGGCCAATTATCGCAGCCATTTCCTAGGTTAGTGATAAAGAAGAATTTCTGGAATTTCAACTCTCATCTCAGAATCAGCTCTCACTTCTTAAAATACTTGTATATATCTTCAGTTTTGGCATGAAACTAGCCTTAGATACCAGAAAGGCTACAATGTAAGAATTTGAATGTTTAAATAAACTAGTGTTAGGAGGAGAGAGATAAATGTCTTATGTCCATCACTGACTCCCAAGGTGTGGTCCCAGGATGACATGAAGACCAAGGAATGGAAAGTGGTAGCAACTGTGTTAGGAAGATTACCACGCATAAAATTTTGCTTGTTCTGTGGTATACTGGAATGAGAAAAGTTCATTGATCATTTTATTTAGTCTCTAACATTGTATTTAGAATGTTGGCAACATTAAAGTAGAATTAGCAAAAGTTTAGTGAATGCTTCAATTTATACTTGTAACAATTCTGCCCACTTCAGAACTATATAAAAGAAAGTTCATATTTCATCTATTCAATAAAAAGTGTAACAATAAATGAAAAGAACTAACCCTGGACCTGGATATCAGGACATATGGATTCCAGTCCTGACTCTTCCACTCCCTAATGACATGTGACATTAACAAAACTACTTTTAGGAAGTTCTTTTATCTCTGAAATGAGGAAAATGATCTAGAACAGGGATTGGCAAACCACAGTCTATAGGCCATATCCAGCCCTCCACCTGTTTTTGTAAATAAAGTTTTATTGAAACATAGCCATGACCATTCATTTAAGCACGATATACGGCTGCTTTCATACCGCAACGGCAAAGCTGAAGAGCAGTGACAGTGTATGACTGCAAGTCTAAAATGTTTTTGTATCTGAAAGGGCGAATTACAAGTATACACAAATTCTCTGTATGCCTCGCTCACTCTGCTAAAGCAGTAGCTGTCACTTTTATACATAGCATGAAAAACCAGGCCAGCTTATATGGGCACTGAAGGAATATTTAAAGGTAGTTTTAAGTACTGTTTAACATGGTTTGACACCAGTGTGTCATATAGACCCAGACCTGCATTGTCACTGAATCTGAAAACATTATTTTGCTGTTTATAGAAGAAGTCTGTTGACCCCTGCACTAAAAGATTCCAACTGTCTTTTGCAATTTCTAATACTTGACTCTAAGTCCTAAGACAAGGTTGTGAAACATTAAATTAGATCAGCAACAGCTAAGATAGTAACAGGACAACATAAAAATCAAGCTCTGAGTGTTCGGAACTATTCTGTAGAAGCCTACATTCATGAAAGGCAGACTGGCTTATAAGGAAACATTAAGGGAATAAACACAAATCTCAAGTTCACAAAGCCTACAGTGGGTAGCTATGTTTCAGTAGGGAAGCTTGAATGGAAAGAACAGAGACAATTAAATGAAGTTAATGCTTTACTTCAAACAATGACTAAGACTTTTAGCATTTTGTGATTAGCATATGAATAACCAAATAACATATGCACTGTTTCAGAATGCAAGGAGATAATCGAATACCTCTTTGAGAAGTGGACTAGCAAGAATAGCATTACCAGAATTCTAGAGCTACTTATATAACTTAGATTTGGAAGGACTCCTTCTCTCTTTTATAAGAGTGTCTCTTTTAAGAGCGTGCAGTAGCATATACATCAGGTTGGGAAGGAACAAGGGGGTGCCCACCTAACCAGGTGTATCAGCGAAACCAACCCAGGTAATCAATGGGGTAAACTGTGCCATTGCTAAATATTTCACTTCTGCCTCTTTCCATTCTGGGAACTATTCTCAACTTTCTTGATATTCTTCTTAATCTTACTCAATTCTTAAGCTGAACTGAGTAACTGCTTTAGGGGTTGAGGATTCACACAATTATTTTCACAGTTGTGATCATGAAAATAATCTTTGTATTTCATCTCAACAAAACCTGCTCTGCTTCCATCAACAGTCTTATTTAGCCTAAAACACACCTTATATTGATTCCTCACAAAGGGAAAACAAATTAAATGTCTTTTATTTACTATTTTAAAATGTACTGTAATAAATTATTCTTTCTATTTGACATGACTATACAAAGATTTGAAAATGAAATTCCCACCTTAAATTCCTTCCAGGACAAAACAGTAATAAGTATACAGCTAAACAGTAGCAAAAATCTGCTCATCCATCCAGTATATTTCAAATTTTATTTTCTGCCTCAGATATTATAAGTTCTAAATATTTAAGTTCCTGCGTCATATACCTTCTACCTGATACTATACTTCGGTCATAAAACACAGCCTACCAAGAAAAGAGAATTTCGGCATCAACATCGCATCTGAATACTATTTTAAGTAACTCCCAGCAAACACCAACAGTGCTTTAAAAAATGTTTTCAGATTCACTGACAATGCAGGTCTGGGTCTGTATGATACACTGGTGTCAAATCATGTTAAACAGTACTTAAAACTATACTTTTGAATATCCCTTCAGTGCCCATATAAGCTGGCCTGGTTTTTCATGCTATGTATAAAAGTGACAGCTACCGCTTTAGCACAGTGAGAGAGGCATACAGAGAATTTGTGCATACTTATAATTCGCCCTTTCAGATACAAATATACGCTTATTTGAAATGACTGCTGAGATTCTTTACTGGGATAGGGTTCAAGGTTAGACCAGAACCCTTCGAAGTCTCACCCAATCCTGACATTTTTAAACAAGGATGAATTTTTCTCTTGGAAGTAAAAATTGCAATTGTAAGTGATAGAAAAAAAAAAAAGATAGTAAGAATCAGAAATTTAAAATGTTTTTTGCTGAATATCACTGCTTCTCCACCTCAGGAAAATGACCCCATTCTCCCCTCCTTTCATATTTGTTAAAGAGCAGTTATATTTTCCCCCCTTTTACACTTAATGTTTGTATTGGAGATCTCTATTTTCCTTTATTAAAATTATGCTTTTCTTTATAACTCTCTAACAATTTTAAGTGTTTTAACCCCTTATTAGAAAGGTTTCTGGACAGTATCATAAAATCCTTTGAATCCTTCTAATGTAGACAACAATCTTTTTTTAAATCCATAGAGACCACATACCTTAACTCTGGCCTTTTATACATGAAGAAATAAGATCCAAATACGTAAAGTGGCCTCCAGCTGGTTAGTGGCAAAGCTAGGTTCTAAACTCCCCAACCATTTACTAACTTTCACCCTGTGTCCTGCCATAAACACTGATTGTTTGAGTAGACAGTTTCAAGTTCATCTACTAAGTTGAACTTCAGAATGTGAACCAGGCTTTGTCCACAGCAGTGTTTCTTTGCAAGTGCGCTGATTTGCACAACAGTGGCATCTAGGGTGCTGGGGGATCCTTGGTCTAGGTTCTATTTACCAAGAAGCAAAAGCCTGAGGCACTGGAGAATAAAATAACTATGGCCTTATCAGTAGATGAGAACTGGAGGTAAGGGGAATAACAAAAACCCTGTTTAGAAAGAAGTACAGTAAATGGAGGAAGACATTGGGAAAATCTTCAGCCCAACATCTAGAAACAATTTGCATTTAGAACAAAGATCATGTTTCACTAACTTAATTCTCATTTGTAAATACCTGTTAAGTGTCCACTCATGGTTTTGTCATGACTGTTGAATAACTGTCGGTATTTCAGTCTGGATGGCTGAGGAACAGCCCATTCAGCTGCGGGAGGAACACTGTGGGGCAAAGAGAGGAAGGAGAGGAAAAAAGGATTAATAGTAAGGAAAATCACATTTAAGTTCTCTAAAAACAGTAAACTAAGAACTTCTCTAGAAAACTAGATTTAATATTTTATTCACTTCCTAATCACTTTCTGAATTTTCTATAATGATTTTTTCCATTTTTTAAGGTTATAAACCTTTCTCTCCAGATAAGCTCATTATTTTTTCCAAATCAAGGGTAAACACAGCAGACCAAGTGGCTGGTTCAAGTTATATGGACAATTTACTAATTTAAAGTTTCTACAAAAGAATGGAAAATCTCCTCGGAACTGAGGTGATACAGTAATGACCAGGCTTCTCTAAACTTCTAGAACAGTCCTCTTTAGGTTCAAAAAGCAATGATGATAGAAAACAAATAACTGCTTTTAAAGGTATTAATTCTTTAAAATGTTTAACTTTCTTTACACCAAAATACAGAATGTATTTCTTAATGAAATGGAGTTATTTCATTCTGAGAATTTAAATGCCCAAAATGGAGTTTCCCAGAGAGAAGAGAACATTCCCAGGGCGGTTGGCAAATCAGCAGTGCAGTATGGGAAGGAGCTCTGCTTCTGACTGCAAACCAGTGCTGACCTTTCCTTGCCAACATGCAGCTGACCTCAGGAAACCCCTTGCTGGCAGCCAGTTCGGGTGTAGACCTCCTTGGTGATCAGTTCCTCCGATTAGTTCCCACACAGTATCATGCTGGTTGGTACCCATGGCTTCTTGAGAGCCAGATGTTTCAATTGGGCAATTTAAACACGATGGCTGAGCTGGCAGTAAAAATGGCATTCCACTTCCAGGACAGATTACAACTAATGCCCCATTTGCAATTTCCTTTCATTTCAACAAAAATATCTATTTCTCACAGATTACAGTGAAATTTTAATCATGAACTGGACCTTTTAATCATCATTTATGTATGTTACCTATGCACTGATACTTACTATGTACACTTCTCAAAGCACAGAAACAGCTCCCAAACACTTGAAAAGTACCTATAAAAATTTATCTGTTCAATTTTTATAAACTTCTTAATAAAAACATTTACCAAGTTCTAATCTGCTGTGCATACTTCTGCAACAACTCTCTCATTTTAAACTAATATTTTGAAGATTCCAACTCTTGCCTATTTGTCAAGAAGTTAATTATATCTCTCCTGCACCCCAGGAATGTAGGGTATTACACAGAAGGTGTTCAAGATTACACTTATCCAATCATAGTTTTCTACCAAATTCCTGAGAATTTAAATAGGCCTAAAAATGCATTAACCAAAAAGTTAGATGCCACATTATAAAAACTTGCTAGAAACTTAAATTATTGAAAGGTAACTACCAAAAAAACCCCAGTGTTTTTATAACCGGAGCAGGACCCTATGGGGCCTTCTGGGGACAGACCCCTCCCCTCACGTCCTCTGCCTGCCTCTCTCAATTTTTTTTTCTCAGCCTATCTCTTGTTTGTAGAAAAGCTGTAGTCTCCCAGGCCTCCCCTGAGTCACAAAAGGCTGACTCAAGAATTAATGATTGAAAGTACATGAACGTGTAGTGACAAAAGCAGCAACTGGGCCAGGAGAACTGGTAACAATGTAAACAGTCAGCCGTATGGCAGTCACAGAATCTTTAGTTCCTCCCTGAAGTACCTAGATAACAGTATCTGATGCACATTCCTGAGTTGTTTTACAGATGCTAAAACTCCACCAAAGGGAAGCTGGAGCCTAAGGACTGATAACATTAACCCCTGTGGCACTGCCCTGTTACCTCACCATCAACCAATCAGAGAACGGCGCACAGCTGATCACACATCCTGTGACTCCCTTCCCTCATCTTGCCTTTAAAAATGCTCCCCTAAAACCCATTGGGGAGCTCAGGTTTTTTGAGCATTAGCTGCTCCGGACTCCTTGTCTGGTGCCTTACAACCTGGTGTCAGTAGATTGGCTTTACTGCACATGGGCGAGCAGACCCAACATTTTAATAGCATTAATTTTGCTAATACTGGCTGTTTGTTCATTTTAATGTCACAAGTCAATTTTAAGACAGATTTCAAAATCACTTGTGGAAAGTCAGAGAATACTCAAAGTTCAGCGTGATATGGGAGAAAGAATAGAAAACATGGAATTTAGTGTTAGATGATCTCAATTTAAATCTCAGCTCTGCTGTTTAGTAAGCTGTAAACTATGGGTGAGAAATATAACCTCTCCGGGTGTTTCTTCATTCACAATTCTGAGCCAATTACTACCCTACAGGTGGTTGTGCGGGTTAAATGGGATTAATGAGTCAAAGCAGATACTCAATAAATATTCCTGCATCCTAGGAGTTAAAACTTTAATTAAATGGAACACAAATACCTGTATACCACAATTAACCGAAGTTTTCAGGGCAAATTTTAAGAACATCTGCCTTAAAATCAGAAAGATCTCAGTTCAACTCAGCCCTATCACCTAGGAGTTAAGTTATCCTGCGCAAGTCACTTCCTGTCTCTGAGCCTCCTCGTCATCTATAACACAGAAAATCAGTCATCTTATGGGGAAGAAGGTGAGCATTAAATGAGTTAATGTGCATAGAGCATCTGGCACAGTGTTTTTCAGTTTATGGATTTTCTTTACATTATTTTTTAAAAGGCAGTGAATTATTGAATTATATTCAACATGCTCTTTTCTTTAAAGAGGAAAAATGACTCAATTCACTTAGGAAAGATTCCTAAAGAGGACTGAAACAAGAAAAGATGGAATCATCTTCATTTACATCTCCTTTTCATTTGGAAAGCTCTGAGACAGCTTATCAAGAGACTTAATTTTTTATTTTAGTACAGCAGCATGCAAGGGGAAAAAATGGGTAAAATAAAAATATGAAAGATAATATGAACCAAGATTGGCCAAAACAGAAGCAAACAGGTCATGTAAGCTGTACCCAAAATTGAGCCACATGTTTGATTTAATAACAACTGTCCCATAACCTGAATAATTCATTTCATAAAACCTGATCTAAAGTTTTACTAACAATCCACACAGACCCCATAAGATTGTCTGAGATAAAATTAGAGCCCGTTTTGGCTCTAATCTTCATATAGTATTTTTTATACATAAACTTTTAAATGACTGACACAAAACAGTTAATGTGCTTTTTTCCCTCATACCTAGAGTTCTATTTTTTTAAACATTTACTACTACCTATTTATCATCCTCTTTAAAAAAAAATCAACATGCAACGCTTTCAAAGGAAAAGTAGTGTTCTTGATTCTGTCATCTCTACAACAAATAAATAATAAAACCTAGTAACATTATCCAGAATTAAGAAAATTATTAGCATTCTGCAAACTAAAACAAGACAAATAAAGAACACAGAGCTAATTCACTTTCAAATGTATGAGTCAATCAGATAATGGTTGAACCAAACCATCCATTTAAAAAAACAAGCAAACTTACCTAGCCACGTCAAATGATTGTGCCTTCTGTAATTTAGTGTTTAACTGTGACCCTGGACCAGATCTACTAAAGGAAGAACTCTTTGGCAATGTGGCTGCTGAAAAAATAAATAAATGTTGAATAATTTTAATTTTACAAAAGTAAGAAACATTTCCCTATTTATAAAAATTAAAATGCATAGTTATCAAATCTGAGGCAGAAATTATTCCTCCCTTCTTACCATTCCAGACTCAAAAAGTTATTCCCTCCTTGCTTCCTGCCCTGTAGCCAAAAGTGTTTTACTAGTTCCTTCAGAAAACCACCTTACTAGGTAGTAATGTTTACATCCATAAAATCTGACTCTTCATTAGACACTTAGTATCACATTTTAGAGGATCTGTTCCAATAGTTAAAGAAGTAACAGCTTAAATAGATAGCTGGCATATTCTTAACTGCACTGAAGGAGCTGAAGTATTAGTTCCAGATGTAAGAGCCAAGAAGTCACAGACTTGTCTTGGCCAGATGACACGTGTTGCCAGGAAGGGCCAGCTTTTGTGTCTGAGTCTCATTCAAGCTGGTTAGCTGTGTGTCAGGAGAAAAACTTCGAGCCTTAACCAACATTCCCTTCAAACTTGCCTACTGTCTTGCAACATTCGCCGCAAAAGAAAACAAGACACAGTGCGGGGATTCACTGCTACTACTGGAAAAATAATTACAAGCATTTTCTCAGCTGCCATCACACCTGCAGTCATGGTCTCCTATGAAAGATAAACTACCTGTGAAAAGAACATCTTAAAAACAAGAGGTCGATTTGGATTCTGTGGCTATAACTTAGAGACACATCCTGACAGATGTAATAAATGCGGAGGCCTAGGCAGATTCATATATAAGGCTCAAACCCACACTGTCAGTCACTTACGAATTTATTCAGACATATCCGAAGTACTTAAAAAACAAAAAAAAACCTTTCCATATTGATATGAATCCCTTCTGATTTGTTAGACTAAGACCATCTACATCTACACTATGCTTTTCTTTAACTAAAGGGAAAAAGACTTTGAATAAAGTCTCAATTAAGCAAGCATGTAATACTATAACCTTAATATATTTAGCCATTCAATAGACTTCCTTCCCCCTCTATGCCTGATTCACTCCACCTCCTCAAAAAAAAGAAAGGCAATGTTCTTTTTTTTCCTCCCACATAATTCTACTCCTAAGGGATTGGCTTGTTTATTAGCAATTCATGGCAGCTGAAGAAAAGTAGTAAATGATACATGGAAATAAAAAGTGTTCAAATACTGTTCAAACTTGAGCTGCTCTCATCAAGGCCTTGAAAGGAAATTATGCTCTTGGTTTTAGCTGTTGAGTTCACCTCTGTGTACAATGGCACCCAAAGCTTCATAATTTCATTCTCCTTTCCCTCTCTCTAGCCTAGCTCATCCCCAAAATGAGACATTAAATGAAAAAAAAGAAAAAAATGAAGATGATTTCTTCTGGAATAAAATACCATTTAAATATAATCAGAACGTGAAGACAGAAAACGAGAATGAAGAGTAAAATACAGGTAAAAGTTCGGCCTGTGGCTTCAGCAGGTCACGTACCAGGATGAGTGAATGCAGGCAGAGGCTGTATGACAGGGGGCGTCCCGTTAGCCAGAGGAGGCACTCCTGCCGCAGGAACAGAGGATACTAGCGGGGGAGACATTCCGACAACAGGAATGGAACCCATTGGCACTGGAGCAACAGCGGTCAGTGGTGGCATGCTGGCGATACCTCCCATACCTATGAAGGGAAAAATCCCAACAAAATTCACATGGAACCACATTTCAACATTCAATGATAATTAATCCAGGACTCCATGGAGAAGAAAATCCCTTTCCAGTTGTAATACAGTTCCATTTAAAATATGAATTCAGATTAATCATTTTGAAGGGGAGTAAAAATTGTCAAGGATCATATCAAAAGGGCTCAAGACCCAACTTAAAGAAGGATCTACTGGCCAAAGTTGAGAATCAATAAGAATAATAACTGCAGTGGACTGAAAGCCACCAAAGAGAATTCAATTCACAATGATTTTTTTTTAATCCTAATTGGTCACCATAGGCAATCAATTTATTTTGAAAACTAGTACATAAAGGCAGAAAACAAACATTTATCCTGCCTTTCTTTTATACACTGAACCTCAGAGTAATCAAACATTTGATGAGAAAGTTTCTCTTTATAGAAGTATTCTAACCAAAAAATGAAGAAACGATAGAAACTAAAATAGATGTTTCTATTCTTTTAGTTTCTCTATCCTAACTTGTGATATGGTGATATAATAAGAAATATATATCTGGTCTCTGTCCCCAGGTCTTGATTCCTGGCAGAGCTCCTAAAACCCTTTTAATTTCCTGACTGATAGGAACATCTTTTGCCGAAACATTTGGTCTCAGTCCCTGGTTCCTGACACAGAGCTTTTAAGATCCTTGGAATCTCTAGAGTGGTAAGAGTATCTTTGTGTGTTTGATGTGGTGACTGATGGCTGGGGACCCCTAAATAGCTGCAGGATGGGAGCTGGTCACGGGAAAGATCACAGCATGATTAGAGAGTTGGAACTCTCAGCCCCACCCAACTCCCACCTCCACACAGACCTCAGGGGAAGGCAGAGGGGCTGGACACTGAGCTAATCAAATGCTACTGATTTAATCCATTATGCCTGCATAATGAAACCTCCATAACAACTCCTACATACCAAGGTTTGGAGAGCTTCTAGGCTGGTGAACAAATCCACGTGCTGGGAGGGTGGCGCTCCCCAACTCCACGGGGACAGAAGCTCCTGCACTCAGGACCCGTCCGGACCTTACACTATGCACCTCTCCATCTGCCTGTTCATCTGTATCCTTTATAATATGCTTTATAACAAACCAGAGAATGTAAGTAAATGTTTCCCTAAGTTTGGTGAGCTGTTCTAGCAAATTATAGAAAACGGGAGAAGAGTTTGTGGGAGCCTCTGATTTTTAGTCAAGTCGGACAGAGCATGGGTACCCTGTGGCCCATTACTTGTGACTCAAGTCTGAAGTGAGGGCAGTCTTGTGAGACCGAACGCTTAAACCTGTGGAATCTGACGCTGACTACCAGAGTTAGCGTCAGAATTGAATTTAATTATAAGATATAAAGTTAGTGTCCGGAGAGTTGGAAAATTGGTTGGTGTGGTTTTTCTGGACACAAAATTCTTGGCTGATTCTTTCCCTGAGAATCCTAAATATGTCACTCCATTTCCTTCCGGCATGAAGCACCGCTGCAGAAAAGTCTGAAGATATTCTAACTTTCTTTCTCATTAGCCATGTGTTTTCTTTTTCTTTGGGCCCAAATGATTTTTTGTCTTACTAGAATGTATCTTAGTGTTGATCTTTCCAGGTCGATCTTCTCGGGCACATACTATATATATACGTTCAAATTTAGCTTCAAACCTTTTATGTCAAGAAAGCTGTCTTGAACTAGTTTTTGCCATTTGTTCTGTTCCCTTGCTTTGGTTTCCTTCTTCAGAGACCCCAACTAACCTACTCAATTCTCTTTGCCTTCAACATTTGCCACTTTTTCTCAAATTCTTTGTATCTCTTTTTTCATTTCCTTTTAATGTTTGAAATCTTCCTCTTTTTACCTTCTATTTCCTTTCAGATAGTCTCTCTTGTGTTGCTTCTGGCTCACTCTTCATTTCTGAAATGACTCTTTCTTTTATGTCTCATTCTTTCCTGAGTGGTCACCTGATTTCTGGGGTTTTAAAATTCTGATCTCTGTTAGTCTTTCATGACTCGCATCATTTTCTTAGTACCTTTCAGCTTGTTTTGAAATAGTAGGTTACTGATGTGCTGTCATCGTCCACAGGGGTGTTACTCGGCTCTTCATCCTCTTTTTTCTAATAATAACCGTGTGTGGGATTTGACCTTGGCCTGATACTGCCTGATGCTCGTTTTGATATGAGCCTTGACTCCTGGGATTTCCAGGCTCGTTCTCCTCCCCCACTTTGGTCTGGACCTTCTCCTCCTTCTGTCTCTGTGTCGGTGCCCTGCTTAATTTTTATTCCACTCCCAGTCACTTCTCCTCAGTGTGAGATCCTGTCCCCAAAGGCAGCCTTGTTGGGCCAGTGCTGAGAGTTCACAGGGACCAGATCTTGCAGGTCTTCTTATTCTCTAACATCATAATTTTTCCATTTTAAGTTACCTACTCAGCTCCTAAATTGCCACTGCAAAGACTATCATCCTTGTACCAACTGACTGCCTTTTCTGAATGAATGAGTGTTTTCTGAATACTTCTAAATAAACACCTACCAGAGGCTGTGCTTTAGATGCCATCCCTCATGACGGTGCTAAGTCTCAATTCCTGAAGTTTCACCCTCTCTCCTCAACCACTGACGGAAGCACTTCCCACCATAAACACACCATTCTTCAGCTGACATGCTCCCCTTACAGTTAAACCCTCCCCTCTTCCAAGCCTCCAGCAGGCTCCTGTCCCTACCACTCCAAGGAGTTCGTCAAGGTGAGGTCCAAGATCGTCTTGCCAAATCCAATTACTTTTCTGTCCTATTCTTACTCAGTCCCTCAGAAGCAACTTGAACAATGGGGCACTCCCCTCCGAAACACTTTTCCTTGGCTACTAGGACACCAACTTCCTCCCACTTCACTCTGTTTCTGGCTTCTTCCCTTTCACTGGAGCTTTAAATGTCACAGACCGCCAAGGCCTGGACCTAGGTCTTCCGCCTACTCTAAAGCTACACTTCATCAACCTAAGTAAAGAGGAAAACTGAGGCAAACTTGAATTACCAGAAGTTGAGTTTATGCAGGCATAGCAGAAGAACTGCAATTCTGATATGCCTGGTTTTTTTTTGGTGGGGGGGGCGGTGGGCACCACGCGGCATGTGGGATCTTAGTTCCCCAACCAGGGATCGACAACCCTGTGCCCCCTGCGTTGGAAGCGTGTAATCTTAACCACTGGTCCGCCAGGGAAGTCCCAAGAATTGCAATTCTGGACACGCCAACTGCAGTAAGCTACAAGTGAGACCTCTGAGGCTTTGGGGTGGGCTGGATACATGGGCAAGGATCACAAAGAGGAGGGAATTCAATTAGAGTCCAAGCAGCAAGTGCATTGGCTTGAGGAGAAGAGACTTTTGCAGGATGTTCGTTAGTCAAGGGATCAGTTTCGATTTTCTATAAATGCCTGACCAGTCCCTTGGTCCTTAAGTTTCATTTTCCTGAGGACCCATGCATGAGATTCTCCATTTTATATCCTCTGGTTCCATTTAAGATTGAAATCTTCACACTTCTCTCTAAGATACCGTATCCAGCCCCGGGGCTTTCAATGCCATCCGCACCCAAACTCACCCAGAACTGACGGATCCCTCCTGAGTTGCAGACATACAGATTCACCTGCCTCCTTCACATCTCGACTTGGAAATCAACGAGGCCCCTCAAACTTGAAATGGTCAAAATATGATTTATTTTTTTCTCCACAATACAGGATATCATGAATCTAATTCTACCCTATCTTCCACGTTTATTATCACCACCCAGATCGAAATTACCATAACCTCTTGCCTATGGAAAAAGACTCCTTACTGATTTCCCTTTTACTTGTCCCCCTGCAATACAGTCTTCAAATAATACAAATGACAAAACAACAAACAAAAAATAACAACACCAAAGAAACAAAAATAGTCTTCAGATAACACAGATTTTTTTTTCTAAGTGTCTATCAACCATGTCACACCCCTGCTTCAAAGCTTTCAACTGCACTTAGACAAAAATGCTAACTCTTTAGTGGTTTTATCAGGCCCCAAACCACCTGCCTCCTGCCTTACCTCCCTGACCTTAAGGCCTAAGGATACTTCAGCTACAAGGGAAGTATCTCATTTTTGTTCCTCTCACACACCAAGCTTTGCCTTAGGACCTGTTGCTTTTGCCTGGGGGTCTTCTCCCCTCACGAGGCTCTCGTACTTAAGTCAGCTCAAAAGTTATCTCCTCGGAAAATTCTCCCCTAACCACCGGGTCCTACTTGTCTCTATCATATTACCCCATTTTATGGAATTATTTGTTTGCTTCCCCCAACTTGTCAACAAGCTCCATAGCAACAGGAGCCATGATGTCTTGCTCACCACCATCTTCCCAGCAACTAGGACACACAATCAGGGCTTAAAAATATTGATTGGTCTGACTTAATAAAACCATGGACTCTGGCAAAAACAAAAGCAACAACCTCCCCCTGAAACAGTTGAGTCCAGAGTATAAGAAGAATGATGCTGTGTGCAAATACACTGAAGGAAGAAGGTATGAGGCATACTCACAGAATGTCCTTAAACACAGTTGGCAAATCACAATATCACTGCACCCCATTTTCCTCTTCTTAACAAAAATGATTATCCAACCCCTAGCCAGCCTTAATTCCACAGTGTGTTAACATTTGCATTAACCTTGGAAGAGTGACAATGCCCCATGTCACCCTCATGATTTAGTGATAAGGAAGGTGGGAAGAGAGAAGGAAATAAGGAAACCAAGAGCCTTCAGGAAAACTGAGTTTGAACAGGCTCTACCTCCCTTTCAGAAACATGGTCTCAAGCAGACTGTTCAACTTCTTGGAATCTCAGGTCTCTCGTTTGTATAAGAGAGCCAATAATCTCTGCATACTTTTAGGGTTACTGTTGTGACCAGATAAAATACTATATGTAAAGACAGACCACAGGGCTAGGAAACCCATGGTCAGATAATGTCTAATATTAATTAGAAAATAATAATAGTAATAAATTATGTTCTCAAGTAGCCAGAAGAAGTATAAGAAAAAAAAATTACCTTGGCAAAGGCCAGATCTTTTTTTTTTTTTTGCGGTACGCAGCCCTCTCACTGTTGCGGCCTCTCCCGTTGCAGAGCACAGGCTCCGGACGCACAGGCTCAGTGGCCATGGCTCACGGGCCCAGCCGCTCCGTGGCATGTGGGATCCTCCCGGACTGGGGCACGAACCCGTGTCCCCTGCATCGGCAGGCGGACTCTCAACCACTGCGCCACCAGGGAAGCCCCAAAGGCCAGATCTTTGAGTAAACTTGGGCAAAGTGGATTAAGACCATGTACTTTTAACTTCTCTTTATTTTCTATAATTCCCTCATGATTTATCTTCTTGAAAACAGTTTACTGAGAAGGGTGACGTGACGAGAAGGAGGGGAGGGAAAGCAGTGGAGAAGCTGGGGGTAAGAGCTAAGGTCTGGCTGGCAGGAGGGCAGCTAAGAAATCCTGGCTTCCCTTAGAGGCCGGGGCAGGTTACTCAGCTGACTGTAAAACCCTCTGGGCAGTGAGGCCACCCCTCCTGAAAATAAATCGGCACTATCCCTAGCGTTGAAATTCCTATAGCAGGATGGACTAAGACGAGACATATTATATGTCAGAGGAAGAATTACTGACACCCGGGTTTCTGGGAAAAAGAGGCAATGGGATGCCTGTGGTTATCTGACCCTTTCTCCACTCCGAGGTTTCTTCTTGCAGCCCCGGAAGGGAGGCCAAAAGAAAACCAAACACCCTTTAGCTGTTTTGGGTTTCGACCAAACGCTGGCTACAGGGCCCTTCAGAGATTCAGAGTAACTTCTACTTTTAACTAAGCTGGTTAACTGAGGACTAGAAACCGCGAACACACGATGGACAAGATCAACAGGGGCCCTGGTCCCTTGCAGCCTATGGCACTGCTCACCTCTGCTCTTCCTGGCCTTTGCTCTCACGTGACTTCTTGAGTTTTCCTTCTTCTCTTGGATCACTGTCCGACTTGCCTAACCCAAAACCTGTAACCTTCCCGTTAAAATATCCAGACTTGCGGCTCAACCTCACCAAAAGAAAGGCAATGCATAGTTTGTTTGTTTTTAATAGTGAACCTTTAAGTAAAAGCATAGCATTCATTTATCTCAGCTTATCATTAATTGTATCAGAGACAACCTGAATGACTATTGACTGTCCCCTCCCAAACCTCCTTCACTTTACTCCCTGTCATCAGATACATCAGGATGAAGAGAGAGAAGGAAACTCTATCCACAATTTTTGTGTTTTGTTTAAACTGTCTAAGAACTTTCCCATGAATCAGATGTTGGATCTGATTACTGTAATCTTTAAATCAACCTAAATAATTAAAGTCTAGGTTGAGAACAGGTAAGAAATCAGAACTGTTGGTGATCTTAGCTGACTAATTACCATTTAATTTTTAAGAAAAACATCTGACTAAAAGACAGCTTTTTATGGAATTATGTTTTAAATTGGGATAATAATGGATTTTTTTCCCTGTGGAATTTTGTTCTAAGAAATAACTTAGGACTTCCCTGGCAGTCCAGTGGTTAAGACTCGGCACTTCCAATCCAGGGGGTGAGGGTTTGATCCCTGGTCCGGGAACTAAGATCCCATGTGCTACGTGGCGTGGCAAAAAAAAAACCAAAAAACTTAATATGGCCAATTGCCTCATTACTGTGAATAAAATACATATTTCTTAATACCATAAAGAAAAGGAGCACAAGGAAACACAAAGATGCTCTGGAAACACAAAACCTTTCAAAAGGAAGTATGTGACAATGTGAAAGGTCAAGAATCCAATAAGAGCAAGAAAGAAACAGAAGATGCAGCAGGACACTGCAAGTTTGTTCCTTTTTCCCTGACAATCTGCACCTTTGATTTCATTTTTTGTTGGTGTTCTGTCAGAATTTAATGTGTAAACAAATACAGAAAAATAAGCACTACAGCAACAAAACAGGTTTGCATCTTATATAGAAATTTTAAAGACAATTCACCAACAAGTATGAGGTTAATCTCTGTATTAAAGCTTACCTTCTTATAGAATAATTTAGCAGTCTCTGAGATTTTAAGCCAGAAAAACAAGACTCATGCTGGTAAAGCAACCTGCAAATACCTTCTGTCTGTTCTCACAATTAGTCTACTTCAAACATAAAAAGACCTTCCAAAGGAGGAAGACACTGCACTTAATGGAGATTGCTGGGACCTTCCTGGGAAATCCTTACCCAGAGGAGACGCTTTACCACCTGCAGGACTAAAATGGTGGCAACAAATTGAAAGCCAGGAAAAGATTCCTGTAGCTTTGGTGTATTTGCCCAATTTAAGTGTTACCTTCAGATGTATAATAAAGCAAGTAAACAGAACCATAAAGATAAGCTTTCTATAAATTAAATGGTATTTGGCTATAGTACTAAGGAGGTGAGAGAATAAGAAACTTATGTTAATTATCAATCCTAAATGACTACTTGCCCATTGCAACTGAAAACTGAGGACTCTAAGTATGGCAGATTGCTAATACTTTAGAGTGTTTTATTCATGTTTTCCATTGAGAATCCTTAAAATGTTTGATAAGCTCCTTTAACTAAGAAATCACATAGGGGCTTCCCTGGTGGCGCAGTGGTTGAGAGTCCGCCTGCCGATGCAGGGGACACGGGTTCGTGCCCCAGTCCGGGAGGTTACCGCGTGCCGCGGAGCGGCTGGGCCCGCGAGCCATGGCCGCTGAGCCTGCGCGTCCGGGGCCTGTGCTCCGCAATGGGAGAGGACGCAGCGGTGAGAGGCCTGCGTACCGCAAAAAAAAAAAAATAAATCACATAGGATCAATACAATACTGAACTAACAATGGTCCTCACACCCATACTGCATTATCTGAGGAAATATTACAATTCAAAGTGGTCTTTTTCCTGAGAAAGCCATGTTACAAAATGGCACAAGACAATACACATTTTCTCCATTTTTTTCCACCAGCAAATAAGAAGGGAAAATCAGATTATAATATATTTTATGAGGAAAACATGTTTGTTTCTTAAAACTGTTTTCAATCACTTTTCCGTCTACGTTTTTTTTTTTTTTTTTTGCGGTACGCGGGCCTCTCACTGCTGTGGCCTTCTCCCGTTGCAGAGCACAGGCTCCGGACGCACAGGCTCAGCGGCCACGGCTCACGGGCCCAGCTCCATGGCACGTGGGATCTTCCCGCACCGGGGCACGAACCCATGTCCCCTGCATCGGCAGGCGGACTCTCAACCACTGCGCCACCAGGGAAGCCCCATCTACAATTTTTTAAAGGGTGAGAACCAAATTTAAATTAAGAATGACCATTTCTACAAGGTGAGAGAATGAATACATATGGTAAACTTTGTACTTTATATTAAAGTGAAGAAACTAAGGCACAGAAAAGTTAATCAAGCTCAATTTCAAGGTTGAGTTTAATAGTAAAGGTAGAAATAGAATCTAGGGCTCTGATTCTCAGGTTAGAGGGTAATGGGTGGTATCTTCCCAAGACGGAAACATTTATTTCTTTTGGTGGGTAATGTTCATAAATCATTTTTAAAATATATAATATGAATTTCCTTGAAAATCTTTGGCATATGTGAGTCACTGGAGGCTGAAGTTTATAGAAATCCTCTCCCCCACCCCAATACAAAAAGGCAGGGGAGCTAGTTTTTAAATAAATCAAAAAAGATTAATCTTGAATGGATAAAGAAGATGTGGCACATATATACAATGGAATATTACTCAGCCATAAAAAGAAACGAAATTCAGTTATTTGTAGTGAGGTGGATGGACCTAGAGTCTGTCATACAGAGTGAAGTAAGTCAGAAAGAGAAAGACAAATACCATATGCTAATACATATATATGGGATCTTAAAAAAAAAAAAAGGGTTATGAAGAACCTAGGGGCAGGACAGGAATAAAGACACAGATGTAGAGAATGGACTTGAGGACATGGTGGGGGGAAGGGTAAGCTGGGATGAAGTGAGAGAGTGGCATGGACTAATATATACACTACCAAACGCAAAATAGATAGCTAGTGGGAAGCAGCCGCATAGCACAGGGAGATCAGTTTGGTGCTTTGTGACCACCTAGAGGGGTGGGATAGGGAGGGTGGGAGGGAGATGCAGGTGGGAGGGAGATGCAAAAGGGAGGAGATATGGGGATATATGTATATGTATATGTATAGCTGATTCACTTTGTTATAAAGCAGAAACTAACACACCATTGTAAAGCAATTATACTCCAATAAAGACGTTTAAAAAGAAAAGATTAATCTTAATTTCAAAGTGACCTGAGTTTTATTCTGCATTGTTATAGAAATCAATTGGATAGCTGAGTCCTGTGAAACGTCACAGAGGGCACTACACCTCACAGATTACACACACATGTATCCTGCAATGAGATTTATATGACTAGAACTTAGTCCACATTTTTATAAAGTACAAAATTAAATCTCAGTCTAAGTTTTCATAAGCCAATGACTCAAAGATATCAAACTTGTTACAGTGGGATGATTAATTCATATATTGTATGCTATGGAGTTAGCCCCCAATTCAGGTGTTTTTATTATTCATCCCAGGCCTTTGTATTGGTTGAGATGTAAGCTGTGAAATTTATTTATTTGCTTTCATTTTGATTACTCTCATCCCAGGGTTAGAATGTGACCATGCTTCTTCCCTTCCATCATTATCTTTCTGCACAGGGCCATCATTTTTCAGACAGAATACTTCCTAGAACTTCACAATGCTACAGACTGAGAGAGGAGGGTGGGAGAAGGGAAATAGTTATTTTAAAAACATGTAATGAAATATAGGAACCAACTCCTTTTCAGACTCACCAAACGCTGGTGCGCTAGAAATAGCAACTGGTTGCTGTTTCATGACAGGGGGAAGTGCGGAGGGGAGCTGATATCCTTGTAGCTTCAGTTTGATGAGTTTCATAGCTATGGAAAACTCCACTTGATCCATTCTTCCATCATTATTCATATCAGCAAGCGCCCTGCAAACCAACAGCATGGGCTTAGAATGACTGTGACCTTAAAAGAACCTTTCCCAAACCACCACTCCCACCCACACAAAAACTAAATAATCAGCTCCCTCGGTCCCGGGGAAAACAAAACAAAACAAAACTTGTTTACCAAGCTGTAGGGAAAAACTGAAAAGGTTTTATATAAATATGAAATATGTTTTATTGTGTTACTCTCTACTTTTACGATACACATGGTAATTTTCAGTCTGAATGTCAGGATATATACCATGGACATCAAATGGGGTTTCTGTTTGGAGTGAGAAAAATGTTCTAAACTGGGTAGTGGTGATGGTTGCACAATTCTGGAAAGACTAAAAACCAATGAACTATACACTTTAAAACTGCGACTTTTGTTATGTGAATTATGTGACAATAAAGCTATTAGGAGGAAAAAAGTATTTAGAAACAGAGTTTATTTCTAGATACTTGATTAGATTGCATCAACTCCTCTGTGGGGTTCTACAAACCTCACCATGGGGATGTGACACACTATGCTCTACTATACTGTAATACTAGCATACTTTCAAAGCTCCGGAAATTCATTAAATGACCTTACAAATGCACTTACTATTTGAAAGTGGTACTCAAACAAACGGTCAAGTCAATTTCCAATGAGTTATTATGTAAAGCATTTCTCTCAAATAAGAGTAAGAGGAAGGAAGAAAGGGGTTTGTACTTGCAACTGGAAACTACATTTTTGCTAACTGAAACTGTGCATATTCATGATTTAACCTCTTCTGCACAAAATATGTTCATTCAGATTTCATTTGTTGAAGTCTAGATTTTAAGGGCATAAGGATTTATTTTTTAATCCTTTCTTAAGAAAAGTTTTATTTGAAACTTCAAATGTTAAGACCAGCTACTCCAATTACAATGCCATCATTGGCAATGTTTTAAATGAGCCACATAAAGATTGTGTCCTCAAAAGAAAATTAAGCTACATAGAAAATAACCCTACATTTCTAGAGTTAACTCAAAGTAAGAAAACATGAGGCACAGTAAAAAGCGTAATAATACAACAAAGATTAAAAATCTTTAAACATGTTAAGAATTGTAAAAGTCAACACTATTCTTCAGGAAAAATTTTAATGGTCATAAAGTCATAAAGGGAACCCCATGGCTACAGAAACCACCCTTCTGCCTCAGATAGGAGTGCCCCAGGCCTCCTGTGGTCAATGACCGCCTTCAGCATACCACACCAGTGGAATCTGAATTTCACTCATTTCTAGTGGCCTTGAGCATCGCTTGCCATGTTTCTTGGGCACTTGGACTCGTGCTTCCATGAACTGCTCATTCACATCCTTTGCCAAGCTTTCTGATGGACTGCATGTCTTTTCCTTGTCAGTTTAAAAGCACTCATTGTATATTACATATCAACTGTTTATCTGTCAGTTGTTGAAAGATTTTTTAAAACTCTGTCCATTTTGTGTGTAATATCTTTAGCATACAGAAATTCTACATTTTTATATGTGTAAAATATTTCTTTTATCACATAGCTTTCTTTTCTAAGATGGTATTACTTTATTACATTTCAATCTTTAAACCAATTGTAATTGCATATATGTGTGTGGTATGTTACCCCAGGGTTCAACCAGATTTCCTTCAGGTGGATACCTAGGGTTCCCAGCAATGTTTATTAACCAATCCATCCTCTTCTCATTGAAGTAAAAAGAAATATTTTTGGGGTTCATTAAACGTCCATATGAAAGGAGATCTATTTCTGGATTATCTACTCTGACTGAACAATTCCCAGGTCAATGTGACAATAATCTGATCCCACTGACTCTATGGTATGTTCTGGTATCTGGCAAGGCTTTTTTAAAAAAAACTTGTTGGATGGACCTAGAGATTGTCATACTGAGTAAAGTAAGTCAGACAGAGAAAGACAAACATCATGTGATGTCACTTATATGTGGAATCTAAAAAAAGGGTACAAATGAACATATCTACAAAACAGAAATAGAGTCACAGATGTAGAAAACAAAGTTATGGTTACCAGGGCGTAAGGGCGGGGGGAGGGATAAATTGGAAGATTGGGATTGACACATATAAACTACTATATATAAAACAGATAACTAATAAGGACCTACTGTATAGCACAGGGAACTCTACTCAATACTCTGTAATGGCCTATATGGGGAAAGAATCTAAAAAAGAGTGGATATATTTATATGTATAACTGATTCACTTTGCTGTACACCTGAAACCAACACAGCATTGTAAATCAACTATACTCCAATAAAAAAAAAAAACTTGTTTGGCCATTCACAGACATTTCTTTTTCCCTATTAACTTTTAATTTATCTATTCTATAAACAACTCTAATGAAAATCAAGATGGAACTGCATTAGATACATGAATTTTTAGAGAACTGACTTTTTTTTTTTTTTTTTCGCGGTACGCAGGCCTCTCACTGTTGTGGCCTCTCCCGTTGTGGAGCACAGGCTCCGGACGCGCAGGCTTAGCGGCCATGGCTCACGGGCCCAGCCGCTCCGTGGCATGTGGGATCCTCCCGGACTGGGGCACGAACCCGTGTCCCCTGCATCGGCAGGCGGACTCTCAACCACTGCGCCACCAGGGAAGCCCGAGAACTGACATTTTTATGATAGTTAGTTCAGAAAAATAGTATGTTCAGTTCTACTAATATTTCCTTTAATAAGATTACATCACTTCCTTCAATATAAGTAACTACTTTTCTTGTTAAATGTGTTCTTAGGAATTTTATCATTTCTGTCACTCTTTTAAATAGAACATGTCCCCCATTTCCATATTTAGGTGCTTATTTCAAGCACAGAGAAGAATTTTGCTTTTAATAATCATTTATGCTGGGTGTATTGAGCAATCTTACCAAACTTCTGTGAATCTTACACAATCACATAACTAGCAAAACAGAGAGTTAACTTTCGTTTCCAATATTTATACCATTCCTTTTTATTGTAAATAAATAAATATTTATTTACTTCTATTTATTTGGTTGCACCGGGCCTTAGTTGTGGCACGTGGGCTCCTTAGTTGCGGCATGTGGGATCTAGTTCCCTGACCAGGGATCAAACCCGGGCCCCCTACATTGGGAGCTCAGAGTCTTAACCACTGCACCACCAGCGAAGTCCCCACCATTCCTCTTTCCTGTTGGTCTTACTGCCTCTATGACATTACTAAGTGAGCATCCCTGCTTGGTTTTGAGTTTAAATTAAATGGTTTTTTAAAAAAAATGACTACAGTGTTTCATTGTTTAGAATAATATTTGGTACTGATTTTTAGAAAGTAATCTGACATATTTAAGCAGTTCCCTTTTCTACTTATTAGAAATGGTTACTATACTCTTTATCAAATGCTTAGTCAGCATCTGCTGATCTGATCCCACATTTTCTTTTTCCTTTTATCTCCTGATATAATAATGTTGAGGGAATTCCTTGATTCTGAACCAATCTTGCACCCCTGGCATAAACTCAAGTTGGTCATACTTTTTGTACATTGTGGAATTCTATTTGCTAAGATTTTGTTTTGATTTTCTGTGTCTACGATCATAATTGAGACTGGTCTCCGGCTGCTTTACGTTTGTACTGTTTTTCAGGTTTTATAAAGGAAACTAAATCAATAAAATGAAATGGTGAGCTTTCTCTCTTTTACCAAATTTTTTTTTTTTTTGCGTCACCACACAGCATGAGAGATCTTAGTTCCCCAACGAGGGATTGAATCTGTGCCCCCTGCAGTGGAAGCACCAAGTCTTAACCACTGGACCGCCAGGGACATCCCCAAAATATTTTTAAAAAGATATTCAGCTATTTCAAATGGTTTTCATGGATTAAAAAAAACCTCCCAACAATCAACATTGACATGCATACTTAAAAAAAAAAAAAATCAGGCAGATAGATTCCCACTCCCTATTCCCCACACTACTGTCCCCAAAATATGTTTTCTAGAGAGAAACAAAAATACCCAGTGTGGGATAATGAGTGGGTTATGAGAGAAGAGACTTTCTAGTAATGGTTTAATTAGGAGAAGCCTCAAAAGGAGAGGAGAGGAAACACATAATGCTCAGGTTCTAGACATCCACCAAAACTCCAAAACTTTTTTGACAATTTTGTGTGACCTTTTTAAAAAAATTCTTTTGCTCAACTAACAGAATATAACTGTTGGGACTCCTTTGTAGTAAAAACTCAAAGGTCTTTTAGAACTATAGCAGTTACTCCTACAAAGCTCAACTCTCCCCACCCCCTCCTAATATACTGGAGTAGATTTGGAATTCGATTTCTCAAATCTTCTCTGCAAAATATGATTTCAGCTCTGCTGTCCAGTTCATCTCTTATTTATAGTTATTTCTCAGTTTACTCATTTCTTTTTTTTTTTAATGAAAGTTTTTTTTATAATTTATTTTATTTATTTATTTATTTTTGGCTGTGTTGGGTCTTCGTTGCTGCGCACGGGCTTTCTCTAGTTGTGGTGAGCGGGGGCTACCCTTCGTTGTGGTGCGCAGGTTTCTCATTGTGGTGGCTTCTCTTGTTGTGGAGCACGGGCTCTAGGCGTGCGGGCTTCAGTAGTTGTGGCACGTGGGCTCAGTAGCGGTGACTCGCGGGCTCTAGAGCACAGGCTCAGTAGTTGTGGCGCACGGGCTTAGTTGCTCCGCAGTATATGGGATCTTCCCAGACTAGGGCTCGAACCCGTGTCCCCTGCATTGGCAGGCGGATTCTTAACCACTGTGCCACCAGGGAAGCCCAGTTTACTCATTTCTAATAATCTCCCCAAAAGACTAACTAAAAGTCTGAGGATCCTGAAATTCACAAAACTTCCAAAGCTAAAAAGAAAGTATGATAAAAAATATTTTTAATAAAAAAATAAGACAAAATAGCTATCTATGACTCCTGAAAACAAACTGATCTTAAATACAGTGTTTAGTCTGATATTAAAATCTATATATAAGGACTTCCCTGGTGGCGCAGCTGTTAAGAATCCACCTGCCAATGCAGGGG